GGTCGTCAGAGGCGGGGGCCGCGGGGGGAGGGCGCTCCAGGTCCACCGCGTCGCTCGCATGGCGCGCGGGGCTGCCGCCGCTGCTGCTGTCGCCGCTGCTGGTACCGCTATTGCTGCTCCGACTCACACTGCTCCCGCTTTCGCTGCTGCTGCTGCTGCTGCTGCTGCTGTCAGCCCCTGCGCTGCTGGTGTCTCTGACCGCGTCGCCGCCCTTCTTCCCGCATGACGATCGACTCAGCTGCGACTGCGGCTCCACGGACTCCCGCTGATCCTGGCAGGCTGGCGCTGCAGCGTCGCTGCTGCAGCAGCCCGGCACCCCAGCGCTCGTGCAGGTCGCGCAAGCATCGGACTGCCCTTGCCGCTCCTGCAGCAGCGCCAACGCCCCGACCAAGTGGTCTAAGGCGCAAGCGCTGACGACATCGGCCTGCGTGGGTGAGGGCGCAGGCACCGTCAGCCCGACCGTTGACACGAGCGCCAGCTGGCCAGCGGCTGTTGACCTGGGCCGCCCAAAGACGGAGCTGCGGCAGGTCGCGACCGTCACCTTGCTCAAGGAGGCCTCCTTCGAGTTGTTCATCGCCCGATTCGGCGCACCCTCATCCTCTGGTGCGTCCGGTGAGGAGCCGGGTGGGAGCCCTTGGGTCGACCTGGGTGGTGAAAAGGGTGTGAAAGTATTGAGCTCGGACGATGATGCTCGCAGCGAAAGCGAGCGCCGTCGAGCTGCCTTGCAAGGGTCTGCCCTGGGAGCCGCGCTGTTCGGGCGCATCCGCAGGCCACGCCCAGCTTTGCTCTTGATGAACACTTTATCGTGGCTGCTGCGCCCGTGGAGACGCCCAGGGCTGCGGGCCCGCGGGCTCCCGACGTGTTGCAACTCTGCTACGCACCTCGTGGCGTCGAGGGTCGTTGCTCTCGCTTTCAAATTCAACTCTGATACCTTTTGAGAATGAAGGGACTCGCACCGCATGCCGCAGGTTGGTCACCTGATCGCCCCAACCATCACACCCGACCAGCAGTGGGTGCCGCCGCCGCCGAGCCCGTCCCGCCCCTGCAGGGTGGGCCGTCCATGACAGCAGGGCCTTTTATGATGCGTTCCAGGCCTCACAACATAATTTTCTGCAAGCCTGCGGCGCCGATAGGCGAGGTCACCCGCAACCAGGGAGGTGGCCCTGGCTGATGGCTGTGACTGCGCGGTGATTCGCTCGTCCTTCCCCATGACAACCCCCTCCCAAAGGGCTTACTTGCAGCAAATGAGGCGGCAAAGCAAGAATCACAGCCATGATTGAAGCACGAGCGCACGGCGACGGCTGTGGCTGGGGAAGGGTTTTGGGCTGCAGCACCAATGGGGTGACGCGGCTGCGTGTAGCACTGGCGTCATGTGACCACCACTGGAGCTGCTGAGCCGACGCACAGCCCAGCATCCCTGGGTGATACCTGCGCCAACGGGACGTCAATGTTGCGTTTCAAATTGAAATTACCTGCTGCCCCAGTCGAGCAAACACCCTGGCGCACAGAAAATCTCACAAGGGTTACAAATTGGCCTCGTGTGCTGCATGCAGCCGCTCCCCGCCTTTGTCAAGTCTCCATTGCTGTCTCGAGCCATCCCTCCACGAAACACTCTGCGTGTCAAGTTTGATGTTGCGGGGCCGCTGGTGTTGGCGCTGCGGCCACTGTAGGGGCACAAGCTCGCCAAGCGGCCCACCATGGCAGCGAGGGTGCACGCCGCCTTGGCACCATGTCTAGGGCAATTGCGGGGGTCACGTATCCTAGTCAGGGGCCTGCTGAGTACACAGTGGCCACAGGGTGGTCGGCCACGGCGGAAAGCGGCAAGGGTCACAATGCAACAACAAAAAAATGCACCAGCAGATGCGTGAAATAGGCAAACCTGCCGCGCACAAAGCGCCAGTTGTGTGGTGCCGTGAGAGACTCTTGAGTATGTTATGTATGTAATGTTTATGTGGTCCAGCCAGTTGCGGTGTCATCAGCGTGGTGGGCAGAGCCCTGCTGTTCCAGGCTGCTACACCGCCGCTGGCAGTGGCTCGCGAAGCGGAGCCCAAGGCTCGCCTGCCCCGCTCCGACTTATGAAGCGTACGTCTGTCTAGGAAAGCAAATTTCTTTTCCAAGTAGTGAATAATCGGCAAAATCAGCAGAAAACGGCAAAGTATGCAGCCGCGACACCGGCCGCAGCCGCCACCTGCGCGCGCGCCGCCATGCCTGCGCCCGCTGCGCCGCTTGCCGCCTTTGCTGCCTGCCCCTGCTGCGCCCCCGCCTGCTGCTGGACCAGCGCCTGCTGCTGCCGCTGCTGCGCGATAGCCAAACGTGGGTCCAGGAAGGTGCCCTGGACCACCCTGTACGTGAGGATGCACTGTGACCAATCGTTCTGGTTGGGGTCGTCAGCAGCCGTCTGGCTGAAGTCTATCGTCACCGAGCCGTCAGCACCGGTGGAGGTGAGGCCGATGGGGTACTGGGGGAACACGACCGCCGCCTGCGCGCCCTTGGGGCCGATGACGATGCCAGAGGCGGGCGCGCAGTTCTCGTTGAAGGCCGAGCCGACGGCGGGCGTCAGGGTGACGGCGGTGCCGTTGACCGCGGCGGTCAGCTGGGTGGTGCAGTCGTTGGCCTGGGGGCGGGGGGCAAGGCAGGGAGGGTTTCGAGAGGGTTGTGGGGACGGGGCGGGGCGGCGGCCGCGCTGAGCCGGATTCGGGCCGGAGGCGAGCGCGGCTTTGGCGCCGCCCAACGGAAGCATGCGCTTTCGAAACTCGTTTGAAAAGGTGCGTCGTGGGCTCACCCAAGTCTTCTGGTTGCAGGCTTTTGCGCCCGGCCAGTTGGACAGCGCGAGCCGCGCGACTGCAGGCGCGCGTTTGCGGGCGATTCGATTGAACGCGGTGTCGGTCACACTCATTGGGGCACCACCAATCCAGCTGGCACAGGCGGCTGCTGCCACAACCATGTCGGCAGACTTCCCTGCAGTCCATCACAGCTCCACACCGAACCCCTGCCTGGGCGGCGTGCGCGCTCACTCTGCTGCGGGCCGCCGACCGCGGGCGCGGGCTGCGCGCAGCGGCAGATGATGTAGGGGGTCCCCATGGGGCCGTTGCCGGCGGCGCAAATGAAGAAGTACTGCTGGCCCTTGCACTTGGCCTCGCACGCCGGCATCACGGACACGCACACTGCTGAGTTGTCCTGCTGGATGACTGCTGCCGCTGCGCCGTGCGCGAGCAACAGCGCCAGCACAATGCGCGCGACCGCTGTCCCAGTCCGTGCCATGTCCTTCCTGGGTTACTAGCCCTGCATCGCGGTATTTGCATTGATAAGAGCAGAATGGAGCATCAGGGCACGCACTGTAGGCAGGAACGTTGGGCGGAGTGCTTCGGTCGCGGTGTGCACGGGCGCTGCTGACGCCGTTGACCACGGCCGCCTCTCAAACGGGTTGAGCTCACAAGTAATAAGCGGATGCGTGCTGGAGCGCGCGGTGGAGACCACCGGCTGGGCGGTGTAACTTGGCAACAGACCCGGGAAAGGTTAGCGGAGAATTGTGTGGGAGGGAAGAAACGTGTTATTGCGAAGAGGGAAAAGAGCGCTGCGTCTCAAAACCCTCTTTCATTTCGCAAGGTCGATTTGGTGCCTGGTGCGCTGCTGTACAGGTGCTGGTGCTGCCAGTGCAGTGGGGTGCGCGCCGTTGGGCCACTGCCAGCCCTCCATAATGAAAGGCAAGCAGCTCAGTGAGCTTGGCCACAGACGTTTGATGTCTCTATTTAGCCCACTGCAAGCGGGATTCGGGGGCCTGCGGTGCATTGCTGTCATCAAAGCCACCAAGGCAGTTGGCTGCCGCCCGTTGCTTTGCGAGGAGTGACGAGGAGTTGAGGCCCATGTGGGGAGCCTCCCCAACCCATGATGGTGCCAAGCGGGCGTTACAGAGGGCAAGCGCCCTGCTTGCTGGATCAGCGCTGCGCCCATGTGCCAAGCCAAACACGGGCGATCAGGAGGGGCGCCTGGCGGCCTGACCGGCCTGGCCGGCTGGCCGCTGTTCTTCGTAGCCGGCCCCTGCGCGCAGCGACCTCCAAACCCCTGATCCTGGACGCTCCGTGTGCACATGAAACGTGCGGCTAACCAAACGGTCAATGCCCGCTTGTTTGTGACAGCGCCGCCCCTTCTCGCCTGAGTGGTGGCATCGCTCATCCCCCCTGCGTACCCGCCTGGAACTCAGCAAGGCGCGCTCCACACCACAGTCTCCCGCCGCCCTGTCCGGCACACCACCTGCGCCAGGGGCACCTCCAGCGGCGCGTGGTCGGGCGGCGCCGCGGACAGTGCGCGCTGGAGGGCCGCCCCGTGGTCACCCAGGGCCCAGGCAAACGACGCGTGGGGCTGCGGGTCCTGGCGGCGCCGGCAGTTGGGGAGGCAGGATGCGAGGGTGGGGCGTGGCGAGCACGGGAGAGGGCGGGCGTGCTTCGCGCTGGGACCCGGAGGCTGCGCAAGCACGGCGCCAGCTCGCCCACAATCGCCTGCCCGTGCATGCTGGCACGACCGAAAAGGCGCTTCGGCAGCGAATCCAGCTGCCACACAATGGCAGCTGCTAAATCTATCGCCCTCCCAAAAAAGTGTGCTCCCTCCAGCTCACCTCGTAGAACGGGCTCAGCCCGTGCTCCTCAAACGCCGCGTCCACCGCCCTGACGAGCGCGCACACCTCCGCCGCGCCCTCCTCCACGCACAGCGCCGCAAACGTGCGCGTCCCCTCGTCGTTCACAAACGCCCGCACGCCCCGCAGCCGCAGGCCGCCGCTGCGTGGGCGCGGCGCGGCGCCGCGCAGACGCCGCTCCAGGCTGGCCATCAGCGGCCTTGTCCTGCTTTGCTCAACAGGTACCGTGCGCGACAAGCTGATGTGGGGCGGCACGGGCTCGGCGCCGCCGAGGCCGCCGCTGGCTGCCGCCGGCGCGCCGATGGGGTAGAAGGGCGGCAGGCCGCTGCCGGCCGGCAGGCTGGCCAGCAGCTGGTGGAACAGCCGCCGCACCGCCTGGTGTTGTGGCACTGGTGCGGGCAGGGCAGCATGGTATGATTTACATCAGGGGCGTCACAGTGTTTCGCCCAGCTGCAACCAGCCGTGGCGCCCGGGTGCGGCCAAGACATGACCGCGCGATACAGCGCTGAAAGCGAGCAGCTTGGCGCGCGGCGAGATCGTCGATGCTCACGCTTGATGAAGACGGCGGTCGGGAAGCTGCCGTCAATGTGCGGGAAGCTGCGGATGGGCCGGGGCACCTCGGCGGCGTGGATGGCGCCGCCATTGAGGGCCGCAGCTCGCTGTGTGCTGCAGGACTGCACCGTCTGCTGCTGTTGTTCTTGTTGTTCGAATTTCAAAAGTGGCTGCGGGGAGTGCTCGTCCACGGTGGGGCCGCCTGGCAGCAGCGCTGCCAGGGGTTTTCGCGCTGCGCCTGGGGTGGCGGCATCCCCTGTGTCGCTCCTGCATGGCCACAGGCAGCACCGTTGTCACAGGGGTTGGTGCGCACTAGACACTTATCATGCATGTGCCTTTCATAATGCGAGGCATACTTCGTACGCACAGTTTCTGGGTGCGTGGGCGCTTGGCGGGAGGGGCGGCAGCAGCATCAGCTCGCTCTCGGCTGCGACTGCTTTTGGTGGGCGCAGCCCCCGTGTCAGTATCGTCGTCTGAGTCCGATCCATATGCTACCAGCGCTTCCATCTATATGCCAATGGCAGCCTGCAACGCCCCGCGCAGATCACACTTCACATCTTTTGACGTGATTGGAAGCCTTTGACGCCGCGTTTCACCCTTCAATGTAATGGCAGGTGAATTAAATGCCTTTTTGGTCATTACACATGAGATCGCCGTGTGGTTGCTGACTGTCGGCACCAGCAGACACCCGACAGGTCAAGAAGAGTAGACACGAGCACGACACATCTTTTCAATTGAATGCCACATTGTCTTTTTATAAGGTTTTTACGCGCAGATTGGCGACGTTGTGAGATCATCTGCATCGGGATGCTGAAGCAGAAGGCCTTTGTGAAGAAGACCAAGAAAGGCAACGTCACAAAGGTGACATGCCACCTGCCGTGCGTGCGCGCCGGATGCTGTGTGGCGCTTTGCCAGGGCGTGCCACGCATGCTGCAGCCGGCTTTCAAGACGCGCTGCTGCCACCGTTCCCGTCGCAACGGCCCGCCATGCGCCTCTTCCGCGTGCACACCCCTGCAGGTTGTGCGCGAGCACTACCTCAGGGATGACATATGGTGGGCGCTGCCGCGCATCAAGCATCGGCGGAGCGAAAGTGCCTCACCCAGTTATCGTCGGCGGCTAGCCGACAGCAGCGGCCACGGCAGCAGCGCGGAGCCTGACACTGGACCGGCCCGGCCGTAGCTGATTTGATATCTTAGGCAGCAATCTTTCCAGCACGCCGTGGCACTGGCGGCTTGGCCACCTGCCCGTGTGCGCGACGCAGCAGCTGCGCTGGCTCTCGACGCTGTTGAAAACTCGCACCCCTCCCGTTCCACTCACCAGGAGCGGCTCCCCCCTGGACCCAGAGTGCCCCCCCGAATCCCACAAGCTGTCCCCTGCGGCGGCGGCCTACCTGGTGATTGACACCAACGTGGCGCTGCACCAGCTGGACTTCCTGGAGCACGCGGCGGTGACTGATGTCATCGTGACAAAGACAGTGCTGGAGGAGGTGGGCGGGAGCACGTGCACATGGGTGTATGTGTGTGTGTGTGTGTGTGTGTGTGTGATTGAGTACGTCTGCGTTTTCCAGCGCAAGTTTGTGGGTGTGTGCATGCGGCCAGCTGTGGTGTGTATGCGTGTGTGCATGTGTGTGCGTGGGTGTGTGTGCGGTTGTGTGAGTGCCATGGGAAAGAGGGTGTACTTGTCAGCACACATGGGGATGATGTTGGCATTCAAGTGTGCAGCAGGGTGCAAGCAAGGAGTCAGCGTGGTGTGCATGAAGTCATGAGTCTCTTCTCTCTTGTGCACGGAGTGTGTTGAATCAAGACCATGCGCCATAAGGAGGGGGGCACCCTGGAGCCAGCTGACCGGCCGACGATGAATGTTTGAATCAATCCTTTTCTCGAAGCTAAGGGGCGCAAGCGCGCCCGCGGCTGATACCCAGTGCAAACCCTGAGGCCGGAAGCTCAGCTGTGCCCGACATGCAACTAGGCATGCCACTTTCTATCCCACGCCTGCGTTTCCGGCCGCCCCTCACCGGCGGAGCCCGCTCAATCACACACCGGAGGGGCCGCCCCGTCTGCTGCCCTCCCCCATCCGCAGGTGGAGCACCGCAACCGCTCCTGCTTCCAGCGCCTGAGGGCCCTCACCCAGTCGGACGCCAAGCGCTTCTTCGTCTTCTCCAACGAGCACCACAGCGCGACGTACGTGGAGGCGCGCCCCGGGGAGAGCCCGAACGACAGGAACGACAGGGCCATACGCGGCGTCGCAAAATGGTGGGCCCATGCAGCAGGGCGGGCCAGGGGCGGGGCTTGGACGGCGGGCGGCGGGCGGCGGGCGGCTGGGCGGGGGTGCCCGGGATGCGTCGAAGGAACTCGCATCGCCCGTACCAGCGTCACGGCGCTTCCGCCGGCTGCTTTGGCACGTGGTGTGTTACGGGTTGTCGTGGCAGGGGTGGGGCTGCGCGGCTCGTCTAGGCGTGCAAGGCGCCCCGCGAGGCAACTCACTCGGCCCCGCACTGGGCTCGAAACCCAAAACCGCCCCCCGGCAGGTACAAGGAGCGCGTTCCCGGCGTGCGCGTGCTGCTGCTCACCAACGACGCCGCCAGCCGCGCACTCGCTGCGTCTGAGGGCGTGGAGGCGCTGCACCTGGCGGCGTACGCGCGGGAGAGGCGGGGGGAGGTGCCAGAGCTAATGGACCTCGTGGCCCGCGCAGAGATGGAGGAGGACGGGGGTGAGGGGCGGGGGGTTGGGGCGTGCCGGGCTCTGGTTGTAATCTGTACCGGCTCTGATCCGGGCTCATATTCGTGTGTTTTGAGGCATATCATTTGGCGGTGCTTTGATGGCGGTCGGACGCGCGGCAGGGACGCCGGCTTTGCTTGCCATGGCTCTGGTTTGCCAGGCGAATGCGGGTGTGCGCGGGTAATGGCGCGCTAGAGTGTGGGGCAGGGGCGGTGGTAACATGCTTCGGGGCCGCGTCAGGTTGCGTTGCCACCAGGTTGCGTGCCTAGGGCCGCAGCGCGGGGTTTTCGGATTCACAGGAGCGCCACCGCCCCTCCTGCCACCTCGTCCATGCAGAGCCTGGGGCGTCGGGCGCGCCAGCTGACGCCGGCGGCGGCGGCGGCGGCGGCGGCGGCGCGCGGGGCGGCAGCCGCGCGAGCAAGCGCAAGAAGGTTTACGAGGCGCACCGGCCCTTCGCGGAGCTGCAGGCCGGCATCGCGGCGGGCCGCCTGCACCAGGGCGCGCTGAGGGTCAGCCGGTGAGGGGCGGCGGGGGCAGGGTGGGGGCGAGGAGTGTGGAGGGATGGCGAGGGTTGGACACTGGAGGTGCTGCCGGGGCCGCGGGCCCAGCTGGCTGGTGCTGGGCTGGCAGGGCCCAGCTGGCTGGTGCTGGGGCCGGCAGTGGTGCTGCGCGGACCTGCTGCCTATCGGCCCGTGGTGGGGGCCCTCCTCTCCTCAAAACCCGGCGTGCGTGCTGGCCCCCGTCCCCTCTGCCGCTGGCGCTACCCTCCTGTTTCCCGAGTTTTCCCACCCGCCTCCCCTCATCATCCCTCATCACCCAAGGTTCAACCCCTTCGAGGGGTGGGTGTCCAGCCAGAGCGTCGGGGATGACATCCTCATCAGCGGCCGCATCGACATGAACCGCGCCCTGGACGGTGGGTGCCACGTTGACCGTGCTTTGACCGCGCTTTGAACGCGCCGTGGGGTTAATAGCCCGCCCGGCCGGACTTGCGCAGCGCGCTGGCAACTGTGGCGCGCGGCATCGGCGCGCGTGTGGGCGGCGCAAGCCTCCCACCACGACCAGCTGCATTGCGCCTGGGCGGTCTGGACGCTCTTACACATGCAACTCCTCCAGTGCTGCATGTGCTCACGTGGCACAACCTCACACGACTGCATGCCACACAAACACACATACACACACACACACAGCACACACACACACACACACGTGCTCACACACACATAATACCCTCATAGCACACACAAATTCACACTCTCTGCTTCCTCTGTCCCCCCCCCCCCCCAGGTGACATCGTGGCCGTTGAGCTGCTGCCCGAGGACCAATGGCGCGCCCCCAGCAAGGTCCTGCCCGGCGGCGGCGGAGGAAAAGGATCCAGCGGCGGCGGCGGGGAGGCGGCAGACGAGGGGTCGGAAGAGGGGGAGGGCGACGGCGGCGAGGCCGGCATCTTCCAGGTGGGTGACGTCATATTGGGGGCGGAGAAGCTACACAACGCAGCGGGCAGCGCGTTGGTCGCTCTCATGGCGCCTGGGGCCAGCGCTGCCGGCCGTGTGTCGGCATGTCGAGCGCGGGCTTGTTCCACCCTCCCCCTCTTACCCACACGCCGCTTCGCGTGATGCCGCTCGCGCTCACCGCACAGCTGCACTCAGGGGGGTCAGGATAGACTGCGCACCCCCCCCCCAAACGACAAACAACAGTTTTTCCCGAGCTGCGCGTAAAGCCCCCCCGCCCGCCACTTCTCACCGAACTCTTCCGCAGGTCGCCCCCGGGGAGGCGCTTGCAGAGGAGGGCGGCGGCGCCGCCGGCAAGGCCCCCGCCGCCGCTCGCCCTACTGGCCGCGTGGTGGGCGTGATCAAGCGCAACTGGCGGCAGCGCGGCTACTGCGGGGCGCTCAAGCCGGAGGAGGGCCTGGAGGCGCGGGCAGGGGCGGCGGCGGTGCTGTTCGTGCCGGTGGAGCGGCGGTTCCCCATGATACGGTGTGTGTAGCCGGGTTGCTTGTGAGCAGGAAGCAGCGCGTCCGCCGGTGTTTGAAGCTTCTTTCCAGGCTCTGGGGTAGCAGTAGCTTCACTTCTCGCGTGTATTGATGTGCTAAGGGATGCGGGCGCAGGGCAGCCCCACGGGTCGCTTGATGCCGCCCGGCGCTTGGCAAGGCTTCTTCTCGGCATGCGGCCGACCCCACGGCACTGTCTTCCCCCCATCATAACCACGTCCCCCGCCCCCGCCCCCAGCCCCCGCCCGCCGAGCTATTGCATGGCGGGCAACTTCTGTTGACATCCGTTGCGCATCATGTTGCCCTGCACTCTGCATACGCGCACTCCAGCAC